TGTAAAAGCTTTTTCATCGCGTTAAGTCATCAAGTCAGCCATCAGTCACCTACTACTAACATCTGGGGGTCCATAAAAAGAGAGTTTTTGCCAATAGTTGCAACACCTGGCAGGCGAGTCGGTAACCGTAATTTGGCCCTGGTGATATCTTAGGTGGGATACTAGAAGGGATTAAATTTTAATCATTCTGCCGTCAAATCAGCTTCGAGCTTATATTGTGCAAATTATTGACCTATTGTCTATTTCGCTCTAACATAAAGGTTATTTTCTCTCTTTACATTGCCAATATACTTCTCAATCTAATGTTTAAAGAGACAGATAAATTGGCATGTCTGAGTAGTTTTTTTCAATGGATGATAATGGAATGGTAACCCCATCTGCGCTTACGGTACACCAGTACTACACACTAGCGGGACACCAGTGAGGGATGATAGTGAAGATGAAGTAGGTCAGTTAGCCTAATAAGGATCAGTCACGGTGGTTTCCAGGGGAAACCGGGAGGAGGTCGACCTGATAGAGTATATTGTTAGTAATAAGGTTGCTAATCCCATTACTAACAATCCCTTTCCCCCCCTGTCTGAGTAGTTAGTTAAATTGTATCTCCGAAGTGATTTAACACAACTGAGTGATATGTTGTTTTGTTCAATGAGGCACAGGAAGTGGCAAGGTGGTGCCGAAACGAAATTATTTCTGGATTTGAGTCAAGTGCGAGGTGTGACCGAGCGCTGGATGCGTAGGACTCCGCTATTATAGCACCATGATAATTGTAGAACCGCTAAACGTGACTATAATAATAATAAATATTACGCACTGTGCACGATCACTGAGAAGGAATGCCGCAAATATCTTGTCTTTTTCTCAGACTACCGAAAATTTGAAGGTTATATTTATAGGAGGTATCTATATATGTATGGTTTTTGATGCTATTCATCATGATTATAGCCGTCAACTGTCTACTGCTGAACATAGGCTTCCCCCATAAGAGGGGGTTTTACCAGTAGTTGCCACGCTTAGCAGGCCGGTTGACAACTGCAATTAGAATTTGATGACTTTTTTTACACAACTTAGAATTGCAAACAAGCTGACGGCCCACCTGATGGAAAGTGGTAACCGTCGCCTATAGACATAAGCAGTACCATGGACATAACAGAGCATACTGTTTCGCCCATGATACCCCCCATGCGTTGCCATTCCTGAGGACTATACCCTACCTGATACCCTGTAAATTCACGCCATATCCCACCCTTCATACTGAAACACAGCCATGCAAACACAACTGCTTCACGGTTGAAATACGAATGAGACAGATGTATTCAAGTGCCAATGTATTCAAGTTATACTATTTACTAGTGGAGAGAAAGGTTTTTTCTGGAAACCATCGTGATTAATTCTGGAATTCGTCACTGTGAGCTAACTGATCTACTTTCATCCTCAGCCATCATCTCTCACCGGTGCTCCGCCAACGTATACCGATAGCGTAGGTGGGGTTACCGTTCCATTTTCACTTATTAAAAACAATATCTAGCCTTTCAAACTATTTAGCTCTATAAAAACCTTTCCTACACGTTCGCGTCGATTTTGAAAGTAAATGGCGTATTGACATACACCAGATTATAAATTAAACGTTCAGGAAACCGCATCCAATTTGATGCACTAGTTTTAGCTTGATGCCGAAATAAACAGATAGACAGACAAACAAAAATTAATGTTTTGGCTTCTATAACTCTTATTAAGTTTCTCAATTAATTTTTTTTTTCAATATCTTTTACGCACAGACATCGACTAGTTACAATTTTGTTAAGACCCGTTTGCAAAAGCTTCAAGTTACTCCGTGAGCTGTGCTCATAGTTTTTTTGCGTGATAGAATCCGAAACGAGGATATCCGACATAACCCGAAGGATAAGCAAGTAGAAATGCCACTCACAAATCAGAAAATATAATGATCATGTGTGTCTTGTTAATCAAACCCCGGACACCTAGTTCTGTTTTCTGGCTAGTGTCGTCGACCTTTCATCAAATGCATTTGCCAAGTATTGTGTGCGTTGTATCGTATGAATGCATTTTAATCTCACTACATTATGATGGCTGACATTCCCTACAAGTCGAGAGGAATGTAATAAGAATCTATGTAAGTACATTCTAGTTGGCATTACTCCATTACATATTCTTTAATAAACAATTCTCAAATTGAACATTACAAAGTAATTTAGGTATTTTTTTCTTGATATTATAATAATAAATTTTAATAAAGTGTGAAAAACTATAGTAAATTATAATAAATGAAAATAAAGTGTGGTCCCAACACAGAACAGGCCACCCCTTCCTTTCCTGTGGATGTCTTAAGAGGCGATTAAGAGAATTAATTTGATGGTCGAGGGATGAGCAGCAATGTCCTTTTAAAAACGTCTCCAAAGCCTAACTGCACTTGCCAACTTGCTTGCCAAGCGTAGCAATTACTGGCAGAACCCCTTTCTATAGGTGAACATGTGAAACAAAGATACATAAATTAATAACTTACTTATGCAATAATTTTTAATCCTCTAACTTGAATATTTTAATGACCATCGAAACAACTTCTTTCCTTAAAAACTAAAAATATTAATGAAAAAAATATCAAAATAGTTGCTTAGAATATCAAAAAATCGTATTTTTTGTATGCACTTGATCAAAACTGAATTACAGAAACGGTGAATATCGATATATTTTTTTTTTATACAACTTAGAATGGCAAACAAGCTGACGGCCCACCTGATGGAAAGTGGTAACCGTCGCCTATAAACATGAACAGTACCATGGACATAACAGAGTATACTGTTTCGCCGATTGAGATTTATTTGTTTTTCTTTTTTCAAATTTTTAATCTCATCGTGACGTCAGTACAGAAAGAACATTGAACTATGGAGGCATTGACCCAATTTCATTCTAAGGAATTTTATTGCTTAACATATGAAATAGACATGAAAATATCACAAATACTGTTTCATCTCATCGAATAAATACCAATTATTTTATTAGTAGAAATACCTACTGGCATTTGGCCACGACGTAATATATCTATCAGTGTTTTGCTCTTTTGAGGGCAAAGCAATAAAATAAGTTGTGACCATTTTGCGTTACTGTAGCAAACGAAATTATGTTACTTCTTTTATGTATTTTCCTTATTGTTGTTTTCTTTTTCTGCGTATTTTTTTAATAACTTGGAATGGTAAACAAGCTGACGGCCCACCTGATGGAAAGCGTATGTATCTATATCTGTTATTATTTACGTGCTGTAAGTAATGCAAATAAATTATATATCTATTTATCTAGTACGTATCTATTTCCAATTATCCACTACTTTTATTTAAGCTTTCTAATCTTTAACGAAATCTTGCAATAATAATTTTGTATTTTAGCTAAGTACTGTATTATTATAAATAATAATAATAAACCAGAGGGAGAGTTTGTACAAAAGTCGATTGCTTGGGTACCTCTGTCCCATTCGTGTTTCTACCGTAAAGCAGTCGTGTTTGCATGGCTATGTTTCGGTTTGAAGGATGGGACATGGCGTGAATTTACAGGGCACAGAGGAATAACACTTAAGTCCTTAGGAATGGCAACACATGGGGGGTATCATGGGCAAAACAATATATTCTGTTATGTCCATGGTACTGTTCATGTCTATAGGCGACGGTTACCACTTTCCATCAGGTGGACCGTCAGCTTTATGCCATTCTAAGTTGTATTGAAAAAAAAAATATCGTAGTGTTTATGTGAACGCGATTGCCCCCGATATGAAGCTGGATTGACAGCAATCATACGCTAAGCGGCGGCATTTGGACTATTCTAGTTATTGGCTGGCTGCCTAACGGTCGCGCATCGCGGCGCCCAACTGTATCTAAGAGATATCTAAAGATTTGGGAATTAGTGGCTTTAGGAATCATAAATATTATCAATAATTGCATTTAAAACTAATACATAGGTGGGGGGAAAGGGATTGTTAGCAATGAAGTTTGACAGCCCCATTGCTAGCAATATACCTTATTAGGTCGTCCTCCACGTGGATCCCCCTGGAAATCATCGTGAACAATTCTTGTTGAATTCGTCACGATAGGTTAACTGACCTGCTTCATTCTCACCTATCATCCTTCACTGGTGTATACCGATAGCGCGGGCAGGGTTACGATTCCATTATCACCCATTAAAACAAAACTAATACATGGGTAGAGGGGACAATTAATAGTCATAAAGTTTAGAGATCCTACTATTAGAAATACACCTTGCCTGGCCATTCACCACATAAGGGTCACTTTCCCCTTGAAAAGAAGAAAAAACCCTTGTCAGGTCGACCTCAACGTGATCCCCGCTAACAACCATCGTGTTGAATTCCATGTGTATTCATCACGATGAGCTAACAGACCCATCTTCACAATCTCACCTATCATCCTTCGCTAATCCCCTGCCAGCGTATACCGTAAGTGCAGGCATATCATTTCATAATCATCCATTAATTAAAAAAAAAACCGCAGCCCTTAAAAACTTGCATTACCATCAGACCGACCGTAAGCTTGATTATTACTAACTCTCGTAATATAAGAAATGTGTTAAATATTTATTTGTAGTAGTAAGTAAAAAATCTGTGATGTTATTTGTTTGGTTTTAGTTACTAATTTTGTTCTGATATTATATTAACACGGTTTGGGTACTTTTATTAAAAATAGTTTACATTATCTATTTATTTAGAATATGCGCCCTCTCGTGGAAAACTGAGATACTTTATGGACATCCATAAAGGAATTTAGTCTAACTTATAGTTTATATTTATTTCGTTAGATGTCGCTAAAACAATATAACTGAAAATTTTATTGAAATCTACAGATGGCGTTAGTGAGAAGTTTAAAAAATAGATAGTATTTATAGTCATTATAAATAGATGGCGCTGAATGATTAACATAGAATTTATTCAGTAATTGTATTAAAATTCAAAAGACCATATTTAATATACAAAAATTTGAACTGACTTGGAAATATTTGTTGACAACAGGATCGGTGGCGAGCAAATGTTGGGCGAGTGGCTCGTCACGGCAGTACGCGACATGTTTGTCGAACTCTCGTTCCATACGCAGTAGTGCTCGGCCGAGCATGCGCGGCTCACCAGCATAGTACTTTATGCCCTCCAGCAGAGTTCTGCCACAAAAAAAATTGTTTACATAATATGAAGAAAAACTTGATAAAGAAGTATAATAAACTATAATATTTTTTTTCATAACTATTTTAATATCTCTCTATTTTCACCAGACTCTTGTAGGCGGGGAAAACCGAGTGTCGAAGATTCTTCTTTTATGATAGTTAAAATTTTCCAAATCGGTTTACAATTGATAGAGTTTTGAAAACATAAACTTAAAAAACAAAACCGAATTTAGAATCTTTTTAAAGTATGTTGAAAATTAAATAATAAACATGGGGCTATTGGTATATTTAAAATTATTTTCCAATTCTATAACTTTGTACTCGTTAAAGCTGCATATATGCTCTTAGATATGTTTTTGCTCACAGCTGAAAGTTCCGTTCCTAATCCTGAGGCGAACACCAGACAATTTTGAGCGGGCACGGCTTACCGGGCTTTCTCTTAAACATGCCTATGTATGGTACTAGTGTCTTTCCATAAGGGTCCCCCTCTTATAAAAATCTTCTTTTGCCTTTTACGATATCCTTGGGGTGAAAAGGAGAAGCTACAGTGCTTTCTTCCTACTTATAGAGTTACCAAAGTACTAATAATACACGTGACACCACTTACGTATTGTGAAACTCCGCGATCTGTCTGAAGTTGGAGAACAACAGTTCCCTGTTGTCGAACACGGGCTTGGGTGTGCGAGCCTTGTCCATGGGCCGCATGTACCTAGACACCACCTGCTGCATGTCACGGCCGAACTCCTCCTCCGTCTCCACTAGCTCTCGTACCACCGCTCTGCAAGAGTTCACTTCAAATGAGAATAGGCCTTTTTTATACCAAGACAATACACACAGGCAAACAAGCATACATTGAGTCTCTTGTTTAAGGATCAATGTAACCTATGGACTTCTATAACACCAGGGATGTTACGTTAGGTGTTGCCAAACCTGAAGAAATCTTAAAACACCCTTTTGAAAGAACTCCATACTGTAATCTCTGGAGAAAATATCGGTAGGGATCACATTCTACAGCCTGAGCGAGAAACTGTATTCTCAGCCTTTTTACCATGAAGATTTTCATTCAAAGTATTTAGAATTCTGTTGCTTATATCACACTTTCTAATTAAAATGCTAAAGAAGAAGATGTTTGACGGTAGAATTTGTGACGGAACTCTAAGGATATTCCTCTATTATTACATATCAGGCTGGCAAGGTGAATTAAAATACAGTTCTTTGTTAAGTTTACTATAAACTAAAAATAAGTGATCGATATCTGATAAAAACCTCTAAAATCACATTTCATGACATCCTGGCTATAAAAACTAATGATGACGCAATATTTTCTTATTCCATCACTACACAAAAAGTTTAATAATTGAAATAATTATAAATAATAATAGAGGAATTAGTAACTTAAATAATTATAAGGCAAAAATAAATTGAATTTTTTTGCAATAATTTAAATCTATCCTTTAACACTTGATTTGAGAACTTTTATGCCAGCTATCTATAGAATCTTGATAGTCATAGCTTTTCATTCAATGATGTCATTTTACTGACTGTGGTGAAGTCTGAGAATACTTACTGATAAAAGGATTGGCAACCACATTATTGTGATTGGACGTCTCCTTTGTTATCAACTTGCTAGATTTATAGGATATAAATATATCAAGACGTCTTATTAAATTTGTCCTTTAGTCCAGTTGTCATTGATATATTAAATTTACTTTTTATTAAAGTACACAATATCTTTTTTTAAAGCTATTTTAACATCACACAGGCTGAGATATCATCATGCCAGATAATTTTACTTCCTCACTGATGAATGATGCTTTTAGAATGTTCATAGAAATTTTTGCTCAAAATCATCAATTCACTCGAAAATGCTGGTTGAAATTTGGAGCGTTACGCTCTAATTTTTGTTTATCATGCGTATTATATTTGCTTAATTGTTGATAAGCAGTTGTCGTAGCCTATAACACCAGGAGGTTTGCAAATTGACATTTTGTATTCCTTCTTCTAATTATAGGAGTTTGTTTTACTTGCTCTTACTTAGAACAGGAATGCAAGGTAGAATTTTCGATGGTAGAATCTTGTTACCACCTATCATAATTATCGAGCTGGCAAGAAACTCAACAGTATTATATATACTTATTATATAAGTATTATATACATACAGATTTTATATACTTTTTTGTCCGACTCTAGCCAAACTAGTTATAAAAAGCTTCCGTTGTTTGTCGAGACTGATTATACTAAATTTTTCATCGGTATAATCCAAATATACAGAAGGCACGTTATGATTAGATATTGGCCAAGATATACAATTGAAAAAATTTGAATCACACGTATGTGCCCGTTGGATTGACGTGGCGACAAGGGCAAATAGAAATGATAAACATTTCTTTAGACACGTGGATGTTTTCCTAGCTCCTGACTCACCGGGAACGTATGTGATTGTGATGCCAAAAGGTAAGTGCGTGGGAGTATTATGGAATTGTGAATGGACAGTGGAATCATACTTTGTTATTATTATGTAGTTGATATTTTCATATTTTCGAGTACTCAATGAAGTGGTTACTGAATCTAGAGAGTAAGGTTGCATAATATCATAATTTTTAGGAATAGCACTGCGTGGTGTTACAGTATATTTCGTGATATTAGATTATGGTTATCAAATTGTATCAATTGAGCCATGTCAGAGAGGCAAACGTCAGCTTTTTTACTGTTTTAACACAATACACAAAAAATTGACTAAAATAAACAGTATCATATTTTTACGTCGCCGTATTACCCGGTATAGTATAGTCTACTTCCCCTCTTGCCCCTCCTTTCCTGTAGGTGTCGTAAGAGGTGATTAAGGGAACTTAATGGTCGAGCTTTAGGTAGCAGCATCCCTCTTAAAACATCTCTAAAAGCTTAAATGCGGTTGCCAATCCAATTAAAGTGATACGTTTATCGCTTGGCAGGTGGATAGACGCAAAAATATACCTTTAATAATATCCAGTAAATGTCTCATATAAAATCACCATATTTTATGCATGAGGGGAGCCTAGAAACCATCGTGATTGATTTATTGTTAGATACGTCACGGTGGGCTAACTGACCTGTTTTCATCCTCACCAATCATCTCTCACTGGTGCCCCGCCAATGTACGAGTATACCGATAGCGCAGGCGGGGTTACCATTTCATTATCTATTAAAAAAAAGCATAGAATAGGCTATCTCTTCCTTTCTTGTGGGTGTCGTAAGAGGCGACTAAAAGAGCTTATGGTAGAGGAATGGGCAATAGTGTCCCTCTTAAAACATCACCAAAAGCCAAACTGCGGTTGCTAACCCGCAAGCCAAGCGCGGCTACTACTGGCAAACCCCCTTTATGGGGGTAACAATATAATTATTTAAATGTAACTGCAGTGCTAATATCTCCATCATGGATAACTCTTTTTTTTTATACAACTTAGAATGACAAACAAGCTGACGGTCCACCTGATGGAAAGTGATAACCGTCACCTATAGACATGAGCAGTACCATGGACATAACAGAATATACTGTTTCGCCCATGATACCCCCTATGCATTGCCATTCCTGAGGACTCAGGTGTTATTCCTCTGTACCCTATAAATTCACGCCATATCCCACCCTTCAAACCAAAACACAGCCATGCAAACACAACTGCTTTACGGTTGAAACACGAATAGGACAGAGGTACCCTAGCAAACGACTTTTGTACAAAGTCTCCTTCTGGTGAAAATGTGACTGCAAACAAAACAATTGCTCCTCCAACCATACAAATGTCGCATTACTTCAAGCAAGGACATCTACAAATTGGCGTTGCATTTGTCACTCTGAATGCAATTAGACCGAGCAGTTTGTCGGGTGCGAGCTGTCATTGAGGACCCTAACGAGACAACCGACTGCGAATAGTTGGACAGGAGATTGAATGATTGCCCTGCATTGATTCATATGCATAGGAATTACCTAGTTGTACATTAAGAAAGAAAGAAAGAAAACGTTTACTGCCAACAACAAAATATTATATTTTTTAACAATCATGGTCATTATTTTAGCCATCATTCGTCCACTGCTGGACATAAGCCCTCCCCATAGACTACCATAAAGAACGGTTCTGAGCGACCTGCATCCGCTGACTCCCTGTAATGTATTTCAGGTCGTCACTTCATCTAATGGGAGGTCGTCCTTTGTTCTCCATCGGTTATCGGTTCTTCGAGCTATATGACCAGCCTATTGCCACTTCAGCTTGCTTATACTTTGGCCTATGTCGATTATGTCGGTCCTTTTGTGGATATCTTCGTTTCGGATTCTATCACGCAGAGACTCCGAGCTCAGCCTTCTCCATAGCCCGCTGAGTAATTTAACAATAGAAAAGAACAAATAGAAAAAAAAAACAACAATTCACACTGAAAAGGTTTTATTGGAAAGAGTAATAAAAAAATTTTGTGTCCTGAGGCAATGTATGTCAAATTAAACCCAAAAGACGCAATTGCTCACCGTCATCGTTTGTTGCTCTCTACTGGCACATAACCGATATATTATTTCGTTACAATGTTATCCAGGGCGAGGATATGAAGCAATCGTCACTGCAAATTGCTTACAGAAGTTTGCTTCCGTTATTTTGTACTTCAAAGTTCTCTGAATTCACTCATTAAGTGCTAGCTGCTGACAGAGATACCATTTAGATGGAATTCAGATCAAAGTAATTTCATAATTCAGTACAGAAAGCGAGCTAAGTAAAATATATGTGTATTTTTTCAGATTGCTAATGAAAGTAGGATGATATTTTTTATGTTTGGATATAATATAAAGTTCAAATTATCTAACTATGGGCCGAATTTTTTATGACATATCACGCGTATTTTTTTTAATGTGATTAAAATGGTGTCCCTTTTGCGCTATAGGTATAGGCTGGCGAGGCACCACTGAGTGATAGATGAAGATGAAGGCAGGTCAGTAAAGCCTTCGTGACGAATTAACCTCGAATTGACCACGACGGTTTACAGAGGGGCCGTGTGGAGATCGACCTGACTGAGTCAATGGTAATCTAGCAATGGAATTAAACGACCCCATTACTAACAATGCGCTATGTCAGATCGATTTCCGCGTAGTCCCGCTCAGAAACCATCATGGTTCTTGGAGAAATAGTCTTGAATGACCAGCAGACTGAATGGATCAATCCAGGCCATCCCTTAGCATACTGCCTATTTATGAGAAGTCTATCTCTAAGAAAAATCTAGAAAGGAAAGTATCCTAATAAAAATATTGTCACAGAAGGTGCGAAATGAGAATTATAGGACTGCGGCACTGCCTCGCTGTTCAACCATAACTACTAATGTTCAATTTGATGCAATTTTCAACTTCTAAAACCCTGCGCTCGTGTACGGTACAGGTTCCATTGTCTTACTTTTATGTAGGTACACTTAAATTTAGTCTTTGTATGTGATACCTACTTAAATGTTTATTATAAGGACTTGACGATTGATAAATATCACAAAGCTGGGGAAACAAGCCCGCAAAAGCTTTGTAATGGTTGATATCTTTGTACTTGTTTGCCGTGAACATCTCTCTTTGTTTTCAATAAAGAAGAATCAATAATCTTAAAATAATGCCTCTTTGTTTAAGTGCGATGAAAATTTTTGACTAATTTGACTAAAATTCTAAATATATTTTTATATCAAACAACATAACATATTTATTTATCCTGTGATCAAATTGCATGTCAGATCTAGGTGGTGTGACGATTTAACACACTGTTTTTAACTTAATGGTTTCAGATTATTTTCAAGTTAGATTGACACATATACTTTCAAGTCACTCATTTTTTCAATTCATGTCTTCAGTTCCACTAACCACAACCAAGAACTGTGCCAATTTAAATAACGTCCACTAACTTGGGTATTTATATTATTTACTTATTCTAATAATCCTTGAATAGGACTTCCTATTTTTAAAATGACAAAGTTCACTGAGTTGTAAATTTTTTGGTATAACAAATAATTAGAGATTTGAATCTAAATCCAAAACTACACTATCATAGCGAATGTAACTATGAAAACTCAAAGCATTAAAACGTCTTATTGCAATGGAAAATACAAAGAGCTTCATTTTATGGCAACGCTACAAAGTAATATTACGCTTGTTAATCTGCCCCTGAGCTAGATATCTAAACCATAAATCTAGAATGGGATCTGTGGCCAGAGTACTGGAAAATTTGCCAGCGACGCGGGAAACACGTGTACTACTAAATTATTTTATGATACAAGCATTAGTGGTTTCTTAGAGCACCTGTGGTAGGTAAGGACATTAAGAGATGTAAGATAAAAATAGAAATTTTATGCATTAAGCATAGCAAACAAGCTCACCAAATGGAAAATATTACCATCGTTTATATGTAATCATGCATGTACAGAACAATTCTTCGTGAAGTCCCGGCTTTGAATGGGCCATTTCTTCTTTTCTCATGGGTGTTGTAAGAGGCGACTAAAGGAACTTATACGAGGAATGGACAGCAGCATCTCTCTCAAAACGTCACCAAAGGACTAACTGCGGCTGCCAATCCGCCTACCAAGCGTGGCAAGCACTGGCAAATCCCCCCTTATGGGGGAGGCTTATGTTCAATAGTGGACAATTAACGGCTGGTATTATACTAATATGTATAGAATTATGAACATCATTAAATACATTAGACGCATTAATACGTTGCCATTCTTGAACCATTCGTACCCTGTAATTTCACCGCTATATATGAGTACTAAACGGAAATACACCAATGCTAAAAGCACAGATGCTGTTTAACATTTATTTAGTTTACAAAACCAAACAAGGAATTTGCGTACAGTAAAATTTAGGTACTTATTCTATTAGCACTGGAGACTGTTTGAACTTGATGGAATTTAGATATTTAAAAGTTAGAAAACACTTATAACGCATCTACAAGATCCTTAAAAAGATAGATTAACAATTCTCTATCAGAAGTCTGATTTAAAAACTAAAATGGTTTCTCTCTATAAAATGAGGCTTTTAATTTGACCATAATTTGGGTTTATTTTCTTAATCGCTCCTTTCAATATTGTAAAAAAGAAAGAAGATAAAAGTTTTTATTCTTAATTCATCGCCACATATAGAAAAAAGTTCAACTTAAAATCTCAAAATACAATACGATGCCGTGGAGATTAATACAGTCTACTAAAAATTTCATACAAAGTAGATATACATTAAACGACTAGTTGAAGTGATTTAGATGCAATAAAGATTTTAGTATGTAACGAAATTTAGAGGCACAATGATCCAGATACTATACTGACGCAAGCAATGCCCAAACGAAACGCAGAAGCCGACGATCGACTTGGCTGCAGATAACTGTAAAATAAAATCCCTTTATAATTGCGCTCCAGAATTTTGCATTTGGAATAAGTAAACGGAGATGCGTGTCTTATTATTGTCAGCAATCATGTTGAATGTTTACGATTCAAGCGCGTACCAAAAATCTCGATCATAATGGCATCATGTTTGCTGACTTCGTTTTTGAAGCTTGACTTGTTTTCCTTTAGTTTGATTACATATGAAACATTTTAAAAGTTTACTCTTCTGTCGGAAATATGTTTTCTTTAGGGACTAAATCCGACTGGATTTGAACTTTATTTAATACTCTCGACCCGGTTCTTAGAGCAATAATATAAGTAATTTATTCATGCATCTAATAGTTAGAAATAATATTATATACAGACTTAAATATACGCTCCCATTTTTTAAAATGGATATTAAGTCTCTATTCATCATGTGAGTTCAACACGATTAGCAGATGGTGGCTAGTAGCCAACAACATTAACAGAGATTTCAACGACAACCGGAAACAACGGCTTTAAGTAATTCTCAAAGTACGGAAGCAGTTAACTCTTTGTGATCACCACTGAGCCTCAGTCGCTGAATGAAGTGTGATAGTTTCAAGCTAACAACAAAGACGTTAAAGAGGCTAGCATTATTGGTAATCATTAAAGTTACCGATCTTTCTTCATCTAAAATGGTAAGAAGTTGATTACATTTTTGTATCGGTCATTATTTAATCTTATCCTGATGCGAAAATTTGGAAAATCTATCGAATGGATTTTATTTTATACAAAATAGAATGGCAAACAAGCTGACGGCCCACCTGATGGAAAGTGGTAACCGTCGCCTATAGACATGAGCAGTAGCACGGACATAACAGAGTATACTGTTTCGTCCATGACACTTCCCATGCGTTACCATTCCTGAGGACTCAGATTCGAATGAAATTGGTACATGGGTAGGTTATATTATCATTTAGCACATAAAATACTTTATACTTAGCACATATATCGCCATGTGGTCCCAGAATAGAATGGGCTACCCTTTCCTTTCCCGTGGGTGTTGAACGAAGCGACTAAGGGATTTTATTTGTTAAGGAATTGGCATCAGCGTTCCTTTTAAAACATCGCCAAAGATTAACTGCGGTTGCTAACCCATTTGACATGCGTGGCAACTACTAGCAAAACTCCCCTTATTAGGCTTATGTTCAATAGTGGACAGTTTTCGATGCATATTCATATAAGCGCAGCTACGGATACTGCCAGTATAGTTAGTTAGACTAAGATCAGGACAGATAAGTGAAAAAATCTAGGTCGATCTATCACATTCTATGTATTTTTCCAGTTTTTAGAAAATTGCCATCCTTTCATAGCTTCCTTATGTATGAACATACTGATTCTATGAGTATGAACATTCTCCCAACAAATCAGCATGTGAACGAAATGAAGTATAAAAATTAAAATGTAAACGTACTTTTTTTTTTTATAGAAAACGCGTTTATTTTTGTTTTTTTTTTAAATCACAAACCTTCTGAATCGAATTATTTTAAAAGTCGATATTTTTTCTTCAGATCGTATTTTTTAGTATCAATCGAGCAATATCTTCACGCATCTATTGAAATTGTATATGTCATATTTCATCAATGAATAAATTATCATCACACACAAATGTGTGTGCGTGTGTGTGTGTGCGCGCGTGTGCGTGTGCGTGTGCGTGTGTTTAAACGCCTGATTCTTTTTTGTTAGCCAAGAAAGCGTCAAAAATAAGTTGATTCATGCTCTCTATTCGTTCGTTGGTTATTCGTTATAAAAGTCATACAAATTAGTCTCCGTCTTTAATTTCATTATTTCCAAAATTACATCATAATAAATCCTAAACAGCGTGTGTGTGTGTGTGTGTGTGTGTGTGTGTGTGTGTGTGTGTGTGTGTGTGTGTGTGTGTGTGTGTGTGTGTGTGTGTGTGTGTGAAATTACTCGCCGTTTTACGGTCACCCATCCAAGGCAAGACTACACTTAGCGTTTGACATTAATTGTTACTTTAATTTAGTTAGAGGCTGCATGAGTAATAACTCAATCTCCAGTATTTTACAGTCTCCTTCACGAGACAAAGATGTGTAGACTGACGTAAAAGCACCAATCATGACAAATCCACGGAACAGACTTACTTTTAAACACCGCTGTGACCCAGGTTGTCGGTTTGCGTGCAATAAATTTATCAAATGAAAGACGAATGCATCTGGAAATATTTTAGGCAATTGCGAAACATTACTGTATTATTTGTAAGTTATGTTTTGCAAATTATCAGCATTACTTGAAATTTTATGATTTGCAAATGAGTAAACCAGAGGGAGACTTTGTACAAAAGTCGATTGCTTAGGTACCTCTGTCCCATTCGTGTTTCAACCCTGAAGCAGTTGTGTTTGCATGGCTGTGTTTCGGTTTGAAGGGTGGTGTACGGCGTGAATTTACAGGGTACAAAGGAATAACACCTGAGTCCTCAGGAATGGCAACGCATGGGGGGTATCATGGGCGAGACAGTATACTCTGTTATGTCCATGGTACTGCTCATGTCTATAGGTGACGTTACCACTTTCCATCAGGTGGACCGTCAGCTTGTTTGCCATTCTAAGTTGTATAAAAAAAAAATAGTTATCCATGATGGAGATATTAGCAATGCAGTTACATTTCAATAATTATATTGTTCTAATATTGTTTTTAACCTAATGGGGTCTCAGTTTTGTTTTAAATGTGATTATTTCTATATGTTTTAGTGTAATAAAGAATATTCAATTAATGAATTATATTTCTATATAACTATAATAATATCAGCTAAATATATTGTAACAAGGACATTATGAATGATTATAAGAATTTATAATCATTCATAATGTCCTTGTTACAATATATTTACAGATTTTTTTACCTCTGTGGCAAAGATGCATACGGCCCAACTGATGGTAACGGTTTGCTGTAGCCTACGAACTCCTGCAATACCGGGGGCATCACGCATGCGTTGCCGATTTTGAAGAAATCTCTCTATTTACAGATTTTTTTTACAACATAGGAGGCAAACGAGCATGCGGCTCACCTGATGGCAAGTGACTAAAAACAGATTCTCTAAAATTGTAAACACTAAATATGTCGAGTGTAGAGAGGAATAATGAACCAGCCACTTACTGTCTTCTGGCAGCCAGCTCCGTCTGCCCCTGTTCTGCCGTCTTCTTCTCGTGCAGCACGCCGGCCGGCACCAGGCCCTGCCGCGTGCGTAACTCCCCCCCACTCACATCTTCCACAACGCGCACCAGCCATCTGAAAGTGAGAAATATATTTTTTTATGAAACTTGGAATGACTAGCGTAATAAAAAGGAGGGAAAGGGATTGTTAGTAATGGGATTTCACATGCCCATTGCTAGCAATATACCCTAACTGGTCGAGTTCCACATTGTTACCCCTGGAAACCATCGTGGTTAATTTATTGATAAATGCGTCATAATCAATTGAGCTTTTTTTTTTATACAACCTAGAATGGCAAACAAGCTGACGGCCCACCTGATGGAAAGTGGTAACCGCCGCCTATAGACATGAGCAGTACCATGGACATAACAGAGTACACTGTTTCGTCCATGATACCTCCCATGCGTTGCCATTCTCGAAGACTCAGGTGTTATTCCTCTGTACCCTGTAAATTCACGCCATATCCCACCCTTCAAACCGAAACACAACCATGCAAACACAACTGCTTTACGGTTGAAACACGAATGGGACAGAGGTACTCAAGCAATCGACTTTTGTACAAAGTCTCCCTCTGGTCAATCTACTTCTATCTTTATCTATTATGTAACCAAATATAAGAGGGGAAAAGAGATTGTTAGAAATGGTTCGGAATGGCCCCTTTGCTAGCAATACACCCTATCAGGTCGATCTTCAAGCGGTTCTTTCTGGAAACCATCGTGGTTAATTCTTGTCAAATTCTTCACGTTGAGTCTACGGACCTGCCTTCATCCTCATCTATCACTGGTGCCTCACCAGCATATACTGATGCTGGCGAGGTTACCATTCTATTTTCAGCCATTAAAGAATCAAATATGAGAAATGTAACCAAACTGTACTGGTATCAATAGGAGCACCTAGAACGTAACCTTCGTTGCAATAATACTCTCCAATTATCTTTCCCCTCTCACCGTACTGGTTACGCTTCAAACTATTTTCTCCTACATTCTTCACGACTCTGGAACGCGCTTCCTGATGCCTTTAAGAGACTATCGACTAAACCATCTTTCAAAAAATCCGAGCAGTAAGTGCTTTATATTATTCTCAATTATGTGTATAATATAGTATATATCATATATGTGTAAGTATATTTGTTATTCATATATATTTATTCGTTTATATATGTAATTTTAGTATGTATGTATATCAATAATTACTAGTAGCGCATTCGAGTATTCTGACACTTCCCTATGGTTGACTGGGAGAGAATGCTTTTAGCATTAAGTCCGCCATGTACACATATTTGTACTAATGAATAAATAAATAAATAAATAGGAGCTCCCAGTAATTACGTGCGAATACATAGATAGATAGATAGGTACTCTTTATTGTTTCCTCCAAAAGATTACAACACTAAACTTAACTTGTTCTTTTTAACGAAATATCAAATGAGCGTTGTCTACGTAATTAATAATAATAATAATTAATTAATATAATTACTCCTCTCCATCCAAAGGTTGCCTGGAAGAGATCGCTCTTAGCGATAAGGTCGCCCATTGTTTTCTCATTGTGATTATTTCTTATAATTGTTTGTGTTTATAATACATTTAGGTACTATTGTAATCTTATGGAGGAAATAATAGAGAGTATCTATCTATCTATCGACATAGGTTACTTTTAAGTCTAGTAAAATAAATAATATATTTCGGTGACGCGGACGAAGTCGCGGTTAAATACTAGTTATTAATATACAAGAACAAGGCATTGGCACCGTACACAGAATGTCATTGTTGGGATGTCAGTATGACGGAAGCTTTTAGCTGAACCGTCAATGAGATGTGCAAGTGAGAAGTGACGTCACGCAGCGGTCACCCACCCCGGGTCAGCGGCCGGTCTAGACTTCACCTCCATTCATTTAGATATTTTATGGCCCAATCAATGCCGACAGCCGAGCTTGTAAAAATGGTTTATTTACTATAATATACTAGTAACAGATGCTGGTATAGAATAGATTAAAAATACTGTTGAATTAAGATCCTCCTCTTTTTCGAAGTCGAATAAATATTTATTTATTTATTAAACTTTAATACACGTAGATAGTGTAAATGGCGGACTTAACACTATATGGCGTTATCTACCAGTCGACTGTAGACAGGAATAACACAAAATATAAGTGACGCTGTAACGTAATAAACAATATTAAATTAAAACAATAATAAAAAAAAACATACATGTAATACTGATATTACCTACATTATACATACATATATATGTATATATACATATATATTATAATAATAAATAATATCGGGCGAAAAAGTACTCAAATTCAAAAGAAAAACATCAGCGTTAGAGAAAGCAAAGTGTCTAAAACATGGTATTTCTATGGATTCTAAATAAAAAGTACATAGTTTATGCTTGAACGCCAATTTGCTTTATAATATTTTTTATGATACTTAGAACGACCTACTGCTCACCTGATAGAAAGTGGTAACTAGCGTCGGGAGACATATACACCACACGCGTCACCATTCCTGAGGATTATAGTGTTATTCTGCCATTTCCTATAATTTCACTGCCATACTTTAATAACTAAGGAATATTTTTAAAACGCATGTTAATTTTTATTCGATTTTTATATAACTAGTCTGGCCATAAATACTGTTACATAAAAACTTTTTTTTCACTTTTTAATTATTTTAAATTTAGAACAGTTTTATTATTTTAAAAACTTCTTTCGATTTCGCGCCATTTCACATATTTTTTCTTGTTTATTATCAAATTATGATATGGAATGGGGTGTTAAAGAAAATAGGATTGCGATCACTGCAACTCTCATGCCCTGGAAACCATCGTGCTGAATTCCAGGAGTATTCATCACGGTGGGCTAACTGACTTGCCTTTTCATCTTACCTATTATCCCTCACTAATGCCCCGCCAGCGTATACCGTTTTTTAATGGATGATAATGGAATGGTAACTCTACCCGCGCTATCGGTATACACCGGCGGGGCACCAGTGAAGGATGATAGGTGAGGATGAAATAGGTCAGTTAGCCCATCGTGACGAATTCAACAAGAATTGTTCACGATGGTTTCCAGGGGGAACCATGTGGAGGGCGCCCTAATAAGGCTTAAGACACAATGGGGCTGTCAAATTCCATTGCTAACAATCCCTTTCCCCCAACTTATACCGTTAACGCAAGTAACTATGCCATTGTCGTTAATTAAAAAAATCCTAAGCTACAATAATCTCGTAATTGTGCGCGCATAGAAATTTCTAGAATGTATCATTTTAATTCAAGACGAGGTGACCGTAATAAAACGGAATAAAACTACTTACCGCGTAACACCTACAATAACATTTGTCTCTGTGACTGATTTTTATGACGGTTGGATTCTACTAAAAAGTTATAAATCCATCCATGATTAGATGTTGTTCCAGATATTGCTTTTTAAAAGAAAGAAAAATGATCACTCAGTATATTTCTCATGAAACGCAATAAACGATAATAGGAAACATGTTATTATTTTTCATTACAATTTCGGCTAGTAGCAAACGTTTTTTTTTTATACAACTTAGAATGGCAAACAAGCTGACGGCCCACCTGATGGAAAGTGGTAACCGTCGCCTATAGACATGAGCAGCACCATGGACATAACAGAGTATACTGTTTCGCCCATGATACCCCCCATGCATTGCCATTCCTGAGGACTCAGGTGTTATTCCTCTGTACCCAGTAAATTCACGCCATATCCCACTCTTCAAACCGAAACACAGCCATGGAAACACAACTGCTTCACGGTTGAAACACGAATGGGACAGAGGTACCCAAGCAATGGACTTTTGTACAAAGTCTCCTTCGGGTAAGTCACTTTAGATATGGGTGATATTGGTACCGCTCCAATATCTATATATTCGGTTCTTTTTTGACATTGATGACGGAAAAAGGTCATTACTTATTGTGATATCACCTCTACCAGTCGGATATCTATATTACTATATACTAGTAACTAAAGGGTTCTTCAAAAGGGGGGTAAAGAGGTTTCTTCAGGGTCGGTAACGCGCGCGTAATACTTCTGATATTGCAGGGGTTCATAGGCTACGGTAACCGCTTACCATCAGGTGGGCCATATGCTTGTTTGCCACCTCAGTGGTATAAAAAAAGTAGGGTAAAACGTCAGATTGAGATGAAAGGGACGATTATAGCACAGTATGATAGGGTAATGTTTACAATCATGTACACAACTGCACGCACACAGAACGCCGGAAGTACGTCACAATGCAGGTTAACGGCGAACGTTGCGCAAATCGAGAGCAGTCGGCTAAAGTTCAGTATTTCTATCTGTTTATCCGATGTAGGAAACAGTACATGAATGTTAAGAGTGTAATGATTACATCATCAGCGTTTCAGTATTTTAAATAAAAAAAAGCCGGTCAAGTGCGAGTCGGACTTTACTTTGAGAGACTTTGTATAAAAGTCATTTGCTTGAGTATTTCTGCCCCACTCATGTTTCTACCGTGAAGCAGTTGTGTTTGCATGGCTGTGTTTTGGTTTGAAGTATTACATTGTACTGTTACTCCATCAAATTAAAATCATCTTTATTCAAATGGACTGTCACTATTTAAATTGTTATTTAAATGTCACTATTTAGTAGTGTCCGACCGAAACAGGTTTTACAGCCGAAATCGAAACCGAACTTTCGGTCTTGTAGGCCTATCATGAAATGATTTCCGAAATTTCGGGGACGAACGAAACAGAAATTTGATGTTAAAATTACATAATACATGCCGTCTAAAATTATTAAAAATGTTAAAATACCGTTTCTCTGGACTATTAGGATAGGATTTATGATGAAAGAAATGTTAAGCTCCATTTACTGGCTCGATTTCGGTACGAACAAAAACACGAAATTGAGCCCGAAAATTCGGAATTTCATTTCATGGTAGACCACTTGGTCTCAGTTTCGGCCGAAACGAAAACGAAACTTACTGAAACATTTAAAATTTCTCTTTTATAGTGAAATCTAGTATATTTTTTATACAATTATTTACACAAATAGACAGATAGTTAAGCGGTTATAATAAATACTAATTAAA